CTTCATAAATCATTACTAAAACATTTTTCTTAAAGAAAATCAACAGCCCAAGTACTAAAGATACATTTTTGAAACTCGATAACATTTCCCCTCTTATCCTGCCTGTTTTGTTTGGCTTCAGTTCATTATCCATGGCAACACTAAAGAGGAGGAGCCAGTGTTTTACAAATTGGTGAACTCTGTTAGGAAAAGTGATGACAGGATTTAACTTGTTGCATAATTGCAGAATCAGTGGGCTGTTTTTGCTAATGTTTGTGTATTATATACTTCCTCATGCTATTAATGGTTTGACAGGACCTTAAAATTACTGGGCTTTTTCTATATATGTCTTTTTATAGAATCACAGAGATCTCTACTTGTTTAAGTAACTCTGATCACTTACATTTTTGTTGTTTATTTAGGAAAAGTATAACATCACTCATACTGTGATGTTTGGGTTTCAATACTTTTCTCATATTGCAAAATAATTGTTATTACTTTCAGGCTCAGCAAGACTTGAAAGTTCTCAAATATATGTCAATCCTACATGCCTATATATTTTTAATTCACTCAACAAACATTTATTAAATGCTGATCGTATGCTTTGCATTAGACAATTAGGCCTTATTAAGTGGCTTACAATTTAGCAAGCAATGAACCTTCAGAATTTCACTTTTTTCATTGTTATAAAGAGTTTTTAATTATAAAATAGTACATATTGATTACAGCAGATGTAAACAGTATAGAAAGTTTTAAAACAAAGCATCTCCTTTATTCCCACGCCAAACCCTTCCCTCTTGAGGGGCCCACATTAACAAATTTATTCTTCCAGGCATTTCACTTTCTGTAAACATATCAGAAACTTAAAAAAAAAAAAAAAAACAAAACCTCATGGGATTGTCTTACACACACTTTTATGCAGTGCTTTATTTTACCTAATGGTTTTTGTTGGGCATCACTCCAAAATAGGAATACAGATTTACCTCATTCTTTTTAGAAGCATAGTCGAGTTCCACAGCAATCAACAACGTACTCAGTATAGTTTAAGATAGTCAGTCAGAATGAGTACGTTTTGTGAACTACAGTAAATTACACATCTTATAGATGCACAGTATTTTGGGGTATATTATCCTGAGAGGAAATGAAGACAGTATTAGGTACAGCTGTGACTCTGGACCCAGCACAGAATACTGACCCATACTCCCAAACACCAGAGGTGCCCTCAGTGGGTTCTCAGATGTGGGAGTGTGTCTTGATTTCAATTATTTTTGTGAGTTCTTTTTCTTTTTTCAATATTGTGCTGCTTTTTAAGTGGACCTGCATCCTCTGGAGAATGCTGGTCAGCCTGGACCATTTCCCCTTTCCTCCTCTTTACATTCATTTAAGGTGATCTTTTTCCAGTGTTGAGGAACAACAGTGTGAGCTAGGGGATGAACTGACAGACCATCAGGGTCAAGAATCTCACCAGTAGTCTTCCAACTCTGGGAAGGAGTTCCCATCTCACTCCTGATTTATAATGTTGGGGTGGCCTTCGAGGGTGCAGCTTGCTCTCATCGAAGTTGCTGCAGGTGGTCAAGCCCACACAAGGAAACATATGGGTCTCTGAGGGTTCCTGGTTTCTTTCTCATTCTTGAGATTTCATATATTTAGTAAACTGTTGGGCAATTACTGATGTCTTCTGGAACACTACAGAAAATTCGGATGATGTTTAAAACTGAAAACCTCTTGTCTTGGGAATCCCCTGGATTCTGGCAAACTGGGATAGTTGGTCATCCTAGGGAAAAATAAAAAAGAATAACTAAAAACAAAAAAACCAGAAAGACTATTTAAAGACACCTCTGTTTGTACTTTTGCCAAGATTATGGGCTAGAAAGAGACTGCTCCATTATGAGAAAAAGCAGACAGAGCCAGCATTTAAAGTAGTTACCACCTCCATACAGGTGGTTTGTATTTAGACACGGGAGCTTTGTGGGCTACAGTAGGAACTAATTTTTCTTCCTGCCTCACCGACTCAATGGCAGTGAGTTTGGTTTTTTTGGTTTCATTCTTTATAATCCCAGAGTTGAAATAGCTCTGGGATACAGGCCCTGCCTTGGCTTCTGTCAGAGGACAGAGTAATGAGTGTGGCCCTGAGAGAATGCCCAATCCTGAGGTGGCTCGTGCCTAGTGCCAGGGAAGGTCAGATTTTTAGTTTTTTTCTGTGTATGTGCATGTGCATCTTATTTTATTTTTTAAATAAAAATACACAGGTCAAACCGTTTCATTCTTTTCTGAAGGGGACCCTTTTTCTGAAATTGGTGAGATTCCTTAAGTTCTCTATTTTTATTACCTGTCACCCTAAATCATTTGTAGCAGCACTAGTGTTTATTTAAATTTTGCAGTAAGGCTGTCCTGCAACAGTTAGATCATTCTGCAAGTTGCTTCTTTCACACATTCTGGTTGTGAGACCAACCGGTGTTGATGTATGTGGATATCATGCCTCTCTCTCTAGCTGCTGCTGACAGCCCATCAGGCAGCTCGCTGAAGGCCAGTTTGCTGGTGTTTGTTCTCAGTGTCTTTGGGAAGGCTTGGAAGGTGAGGTTGCAGTGGAGGAGAAAAGATGTAGAGAGAAAGACCGAAAAACCAGTGTTCCTCAAATATCAATTTGAGCTGTGGTAGAAGGAACCTTGCAGGTGATGTGCTTTGATGCCCTTTGCCCCCACCCCCATTTGGTAGCTGAGTGGACAGCAAGCTAAGCTGGTGTGCAGTGTGTGAGTGAGACTCCAGTTTGAGCAGCATTCCCAGATCTATGTCACAACTTTCTGTGGACAAGATTTGTATATAATCTAATCATGAATCACAGTGTAAATTGATTTTCAAAGCAGATGTGCTTGTGATAACCTAGTGTTTTAAGTAGAAGTAATAAAGCCTTTTTAAAAAATTGCTATGGTTTGTGTGTGTGTGTGTGTGTGTGTGTGTTGTTAAACACTCAGGACTGTCATCTTGATGGCTTTTCAAATACTTCCTCCTCTGTCAAACTCGGTTGTGAGGCAGCTTGGCAGCTGACTTCCTTCCTGGTTGCATGTGTCCCTGAAATCAGATCTTAAAGTGTTCAGCTAGTTAAAACAAAACAAAACAAAACAAAAAAAGTGCAAAAATTGTTTCAGCTCTTCCAACATGTATAAATTTGAGTGAGGAGAGTATTTAATAATGCTTCCCTTCCATGTTGTGCCACCAGGGCACCCCTGCCCCTTTCTTCTTTCCTTCTCCTCCTGGGTCGGTGTTCTAAAACATCTACTAGGGCCCAGGGGACTCCTTTTACATGCGAAGCTCCTCTGACTGTGTTATTATTCACTGGGAGGGGGACATACCGTTCACCAGCATTATGAATGTGAACTAGATTTAAAGCTGGTGGTGGAAAAGATCAGAGGCGCAAGCGTAGTGCTGAGGTCACGTCACTGTGTGGAAGTGTGCCTCAGTTCCTGCCTGCCAAGTGGGGAAGGCCGGCTCTCCAGGACTGGAGCAGGGTGGGGGCAGGGGGGAGGTTAGTTCCCGCTCAGACACCTATCTCCTTTCTGCAGTGGCTCTCAGTTTTTATCTCACTTCTGTGAACCAGTGACTCGGCCCAGTGTGTCAGCCATTGTGCAGCAGCCTTGATTTAGGTCTGCAGCTAGGAGGCTGTGCAATGTTTTCAGAAGTTTGCATCGGATGGGTCTAGGAGCCCTGAATAAACATTCTTCCTGCTTCTCGAGACTCTATTTGTTCAACAGATGTTGTCTAGAATGGATTTGCATCAGTATATATAAAAAGGTTTCTTTATTCCCAAGTAATTGCCAAAAATAATCAGAACTCACCAAAATTTGAACTTAAGGTTTCTTCCGAGTAGTTACCCTATATGCACGTAGGGAGACAATTTTGATTCCAAAGAAAGCAAATGGCTCAAAGAAGGTAGATGCAATGGGGCTTATAAAGGGAAGAGGAGGGATTATTAAATACTCAAATCAACCATTGGCTAATCTTAATTGGATTGAGTGAACCCTGACGTCCCCCTTCACTGAGATCAGTTGATAGCAGATTACTTCTGGCCTGGCTGTTAATAATTTGGCCCTCCACCTGCCTGTGGCCATGAGACTTTTTGAGATTTAAATTAAGAGGTGATGATGGATAAGGTTAAGGTTAAGAGGTGATGATGATT